CCCTTACCGTTTCTAACGAAGTAAGACGTTTCATTATACAATTCTACGTCAAAACCTGGCTTTTTCCTCGCTGTAACTTTAACCTTTTTTTCCTAAAATTACAAAAGACAAAGTTATCAAGTCAAATAGTAAAGTTACACACTCACGTTTTGATGCAAATATTTCCAAACCTTGGCATTTTTCTTGTCTTCCTTGCTCAGTTTTCGTTTCTTTCCTTTATCAGCTTTTAATTCTTCATCCTCCTCGTCTTGCAACTGTTTTTTATTTACTGTATTTTCAAGTTCTTCTTGTTCACAGCTTCTTTTTTCTTCCCCCGCCATTTTGAATATTCAACTTTGTTCGAGAAAACCTGGTAAGTAATAACTACGCGGGCTTCCTGTGGTTTATATTTATATTTTTCGTTTCATCTAAAATACAGGTATATTCATTTTCAAGTTTTTTTTTGTTTTTCTTGTTTTGAATAGAGGATTTTTTTCTATATGGGTTTCCTGTGGTTAAAGTTTATTTATTCGACTTCATTCCACTCAAGTCACGTTTTGCAAAAAAAAAATTATATACATCTTTGTCATTTATTTCTGAATTTTTTTACATATTCTTTTCGTCATTCGCTTCTCCCACTAATTTGAATATCATTTTTAAAATATTTTTGAATAATTTTAGAAGATCTTTAAAAATATTGTAAGTTTTAAGAATAATTAAAGATGGTTACATTTTTTAACATGTTTTGAACGCTTTTTGAATATTTTGAATATTTTTAATGGTATATTTTGAATATTATGTTTGGGTCGTGAAAGACTGGTAACTAATAACGTGGGCTAGTATATGCGGGGTTCCTGTGGTAAAGGGTTTATTTTTCACTGAGTCACGTTGTTCTAAAAATTCTACACAAATTCCGTCCTTTCTCTTCTAAACACTGAGCTGATTCTTCCAGTATGGACGTAGAATTGAAAGAAAAACAGGTTGTGCTTGTGATCTGGTCTGGATCGCAGCCTCCCAAGGATATTGAACAAGTCGTGAGTCATTTGAAGAAAATGGTTGGTGACGAGGGTAAAGTAGCCCTTGAACATGCAGACCGCCTTCACATGGGTAAAAATATCACTTTTATTATATTAATTACGATTGAATTTGGTCTATAAACCCAATATAAAGAAGCTTTGCTAATTTTTTCCCTCATCCGAATTTAGAAATTCGTTATTAAATCATGAAGAGGAATTGTCAAGCTTTTCGGCTCTAGCTTGGATTGTGTTACGGTCACCAAAACGTTCGGACATCGTTCTCGGATTTCCATACAAATTCACTGACTTCAAAGAGAAAATTTAGTTAGGTTTCTTTAGTTAGCTATCTTAACAGCAGTAAGAAAAGCTTCAATCAAGCTAGAAAAATGATCATTTACTTATATTTAGAGAACTATACTTAACGTCAACCAAGTAAATAGTTCATTTAGAGTCAGTACATTTGTACGGAAATTCGAGAACAATGTCCGAACTTTTTAGTGACCGTAACACAATCTAAGACAATTTATACCCCGTGACGGCTAGCTCCGAAAAGGTGAATTGATACAAGTTTCTACAGTTTGCTCTATTCATAAAGGTACGGTACTGACTTAATGTGCTATGAGTCGGTAATGTACGTTTATAGTAGAGTAAACTAGTTAGGTATGACTAAGAAATGACATGGCACAATTTAAAACACTGACATTAACCATTTCTTAAACTAATAGTACATTGTGGTCTACAGTGTAGCTTCAGTACGTCACATTAACAATTTATCAAGGTTCCTTTTGTATGGTCTGTACTCTTATTGAACATGAAATGGCATCATTATATGATCCCAAGTGGAACCATTAGTGCAGAGTGTGGTTTCACTTCAAAGTTTGGATCATATGCTGACCACCTTCCATGTTCTACGAGAGTACAGACCATAGAAAAGGGCGGTAAAATCTTTTATTCATCATATCTTATGTGGTGTTGTTTGTACCCAAACTAGACCACAATGCATCATGTTTATTAAATTTGGAAAAGACCTATGTTATACATGGGATTGTTAATACTATGTGAGCCAATCAAAAAGTGTGAAATTACTTCTCACTGCCAATAAAAATGCTTATGATACAGCACAACACTAGTTAATAAAGAAGGTTTGTGGTCACAGTTCAAAATCCTTGTAATAATTCAAAGTAAGAGACAATTAGCAAATTTTCAAGTCAAATTAACTTATTTTTATGTGATTCTTTTAGCATCCTACACGGCTTCACATTTTGATGTGGTTCTCTCTGGTGTCCTGAGTGAAACATCTCATATTCATACCATGGAACTACTGACTGAGATAGCAAGAATCCTAAAACCAAATGGTAGACTTATTCTACAGGAGACTACTGGTGAGACTTTCTTACAGTACTACATTGTACATGGGTGGGATGGAGGAACTTTGGGACTGGTGCCATGGATGGCATGCCCTGTGCTTTCTCGCCGCTGTGTAGTTTATGTCTTGGGTTGTCGGTTTGATTTCTGGCTGAGCCACATATGTGAGTGTACATGGGTGGGATGGAGGGACTTTGGGACTGGTGCCATGGATGGCATGCCCTGCTGTGGTGCTCTCTCAATCTCACCACTGTGTACATGTAGTTTAATTCTGGGTTCGTGGGTTCAATAGTCCGCTTCACAGTTCCCTGCGCCATCTTGAAAGGTGGCTGTGCCTTTACATCAAAGCAAGACGACAGTGAGCTCTCTTGATAGAGACCTGTGAATAATTGTCCAAGGTGTTAAAAAAGGTCTCTATCATTGCAAGCTCACTGTTTGTCTCGCTTCAATGCAAAGGGACAGCTACCTTTCAAGATGGCACAGGCAACTGTGAAGGCGACTATTCCTGGCCGAGCCATGTACGTGGGCTTAGGTTTGCTTGATGTGTTGTTTTTTTCCCTGCTGCAAGGGGTTTTTTTGGATTGTTTTTCTGGTTTTCCTTCCTATTTAAATATCAACATATGAGTTGAGTATTGTGTATTAATGAATGTAGTGGTAGTGCGTGTGAAGGGAACCTCACAGAAGAGCCCATATTACAGGGAGTGATTGTCGTAATATATAAGTTCATACATATATATGTGTATATCAAAATCCCCCCTCCCCCCTCCCAAAAAAAAAGACACTGAAATGGAAGACATGATAGCAT